CAATGACAGAAAAGAGGAAATGGAGAATTGCTTAATGGGTATGTGGTTTTATTTTGGTATGATGAAATGTTTCTGAACTAGCTAGATGTGGTGGTTATACAACACTAGAGACCCAGTGCATAAATCCATGCACCAGTGGGGTCCCTTAGCCTGGCCTGTGGGATTGGGTTGAAACCAGCTCTTGGACATCCCCTGAAGGGTCCTGGATTCGAGAGGGTACAGGCCAAGCTGAGGGACCCCACTGGTGCACGATTAGGGCTGGGAGGGATGTGGGAGGTTGGCCAGCTGGGGAGAGATTATGGAAGGGCTCCATGGCATGTCCGGTCCTTCTTGCTCAGTCCTGATCAGCCTGACCCCAGCAGGAAGCTAACTTACCAGTTGGAGTGTCTGCCCCCTGGTGGTCAGTGCATATCACAGCGAGTGGTTGAGTGATCTTTAGCATATCATTAGCATATTACACTTTGATTGGTTGAACAGATGACTGGACACTTAGCTTATTGTGAATCTTGTGTAAATACCCGTAATTGTTACCTTTAAAATGGTTAACTTTCTGTTAGGTGAATTTCTCTTAAATAAAAAAGCTAGTTCTGAGTACCACTTATATTGTAGTATTTGTAGATTACTGTGACACATTCTTTATATGGCTTCAACTTTACAAATAATGAAATATTGATCTCTCTGAATATTTCATTCAGAAAAACTTCCCTCATTTTAAAAAAAATGATAGGTTCTATGCTTGTCTGCTTCATTCCACTAACAAAAAGGAGCCTTAGTTCAGCCTTCCATGAAGTTTTGAATAATCATGACAAATATGTTTAACATCCTTGGCTGTATGTGGTGAGGCCACAGGGCAGTCCCATGAGGTACTCACTAGACCTTTTCTTCAGATCCTACCCTGTTTCCCCGAAAATAAGACAGTGTCTTATTATTAATTTTTGCTCCCAAAGATGTGCTAGGTCTTATTTTCAGGGGATGTCTTATTTTTCCATGAAGAAGAATACAGTACACATTTATTGTTAAATGAAAATAAAGGAAATTTATTACTGTATATGGTACGGTAGTACGGTAGTTGTCAACACAAACCAGACAAACTGTGAATCCTACAGTATCAAGAATTTACTCATTTATTCAATGACAATCATGTCATCATCTTCTGGGACATCATCATAACAATCCAATTCCTGAATTTCCTGGTGAATTTCTTGTGACTCCATTTCTTTCAGAATCAGTGGACCAAATCTCTCATGTTTAACCTAGGGGGGCCTTATTTTCCGGGGGATGCCTTATATTTCACTCAGAAGGAAACCTGTAAGTAGGTCTTATTTTCGGAGGATGTCTTATTTTAGGGGAAACCCGGTAGTAGCAGAGACTTGGGGCATCCCAGAGAATATGTGATGAGCAGACTTCACTTCACATCTTTGTGATAATATTGGTAAATTATGCAGAGCCATGCCTGACCCTTAGGGACAGCTCCTTAAGAGCTTTTAATGGCATCTGAAGAGGGTCCTGGGACCTTCCCTGCAGTTTAACAGACATGGAAAGTCTGCTGTGGGCAGGGACTGTGCGGATTGGAACCATGAAGAAATCAACAGTCCCTGCCCTCTGGGCTTTTCCAAGGGCATGGGCAGCAGTTTTTCTTACTGATTTGGGATGTTTTTTGTTTATTTTGGGGTTGAGGTGACTAGAAATCTTAATAATAAAGTACAAATCAGTTGATAAGCACTCAAAGCATAACCTTCACCTACCTGACACTCATCCTTTCTCCTCCTGTCTGTGGGATAGTTGCCACTTCCAAGGTCAAGGATGAGCCAGATTATCTGTGCACTCAATCAGTGGAGGCATTTTTAAACAAGTCCATTCTGTAGTCCCACTTTTTATTGGCCTCCCCATCCTCTTCAATACTGCCACCTACCTGCTTCCCTTCCACGGAGTTATGGAGTGAGGCCCTAGTACGAGGGTCTCAAGTTCACAGGACTAGTCATAGGAGTTAGGCTTTCCCCTTTAGTTGGTTTTCCAAGTTCATGCTCAATTTATGAGGAGTAAAATGCATTATAATCTGACATTCTTTGGTTACAGTTATGATGTGGATTATAACCCATGACAGTTACAGCTATATTCCTTAAAACAAAACATACTCCCATGCCTAGTGGCTGGACCCAGGGTTTTCATCCCAGGGAAGATTTCATGGGTGGGTGGTCAGAGAGGAATGCAACAGGCATTAGTTTACATGGCCTTTGCTCTCCCTAGGAGCTGAGTGATTCTGACCTAGAGATGACTGAGGCCATCCTTTGATTGAACTTGCCAAGAGTTAAAAGTCAGGAAGCCCTTATTCTCTAGGGTCAGCATCTGACTCTACAGGTGCAGGCATTCAGCTGCAAATCAGAGAAAGCACAAATGCTGTTCCACATTACCAAATGTGCAGGTATATGTGCTCTTTGGAGATGGTAAAACTTCTGTATTTTTGAAGAAACTATATGTTAGAATAAAAAATCATTTGCTCTAGGAAAGGGTAATTACTAGACTGATACGGGATTAGATCTTTGGGACATGGGTAGCATTGATAGTAAATATGCATTTCTCAATAAACACAGCAGCTAGTATTGAGCCAAACCCAGTGACAATGGCCTGAGATTGACTCTATCAGGGCCCAAGTTCATCTGAAGAGTGTAAGTGCCAACCAGGCCCCAGAGAGGGCTGCAACCTTGGTCCAGTTCTTGCTACTTGGAGGACCTTGATCAAGCCACTCAGTGCTTTATTTGCTTTATCTATAAAATGGACACTGGAACTGAAGAAAACTTGTATTTCACATGTATGCTGTGAGACTAAATGATATAATTACTATCATTATGGCATGAGTGCTTTGAGCTAAGGTGCTGGACAGATCAGAACTGTTACCAGACAAAAAGTCTAAGTTAGATAGAGAATGCCTTAAAATAGCTTCTTTATTTCAGTATGGGTGGCAAATTAGCTTCCTTGGTGGTTTGCATCTAGAGAAGTCAGTTTTGATTTATTTACATATAGCCTACCCTATAGAAATAATGCAGATAAGCAACAAAGAGAGTTGAGATAAAGTATGAAACATTTGGCCAACCTTTGTGTTTGAGGGAGAGTTGAAGATGTAGTCCAACAGTCTCACTGAGCACCTGTCAAATGCTAATCATCAAGCTACCTGCTGGAATGAATGTGAAGTCAGCTCCACATGAGCTGCCTCTCATCTGCTCAGAACCCACAGGATGTGAGTAGGCGCTGGCTGGTCAGGCCTTCAATGTGTCTTTATTTAGTCAGAAATGGATCCCAGAATTTTAGCAACGGTGCCAGGTGTGGTCCATCATTCTGTATGTTGTGAGACCATGGGGGCTGCCCCATGAGGTACTCGCCTGACCCTTTCCTTCAGGTCCTAGTAGCAAAGACTTGGGGCATTTTTGGTTGTGCAGTAACCTACATGTGAATGTGACATCAGAATTGCTGTTTGCAGATAATGCTTGCATTGGATTTTGAGTTGATTCTTTTCCTAGTGTCACTTAATTTAAATCTCTTTATGTGACCCACAACTTGGTTCTGGGAATGACCTCCATGCTAATTGAGATTATTAACTACTGTAATTTCTTAAATTTAGTATCCTCTTTGAGGAGTCCTACACCTGTCAGGGCATTTAGCACATTCTTGCACCACTGAGCAGTCCATGGAGTACTAACAGGCTTTGATTCAGTTGGCAGTACCGCTCCAAGACTGTCATGTGCATTGGCATCCCCTCAGCTCCTCTGCATAGAGCTCAGGTTAACTTTGAATTGAGCAAGGAGGGCTTGGGTTGGAATTGCATATCTCCCACTCGGCTTCTCCTGCTCATGATGTATCATTGTGATGACTGGAACATTGACCCCAAGCCTAACTGTAGGTAAATGCGTAGATTTGGGGAAATGATTACTTGGAAAATTATATTCTTCCTTTGCCTGACAATCTTACATCTGAAAAGTGGAGAAACAGTGGCCAGAATACTTAGACTCTTTCCTCAGAAAAATGGATTACAAAGGTATTTCTTTTGCTAGTAGCTGCTTCAGTAATCCACCTGACCTGTTTTGTCTGGGTTGGAGGGGGGAAGGGAGGGGTGTCTTCCAGCCCATGCAGGACACAGTACTGGCAGGCAGTTGATTCAGCCACCCTGGATTCGTGCCCGTGACCGCTGAGGGTCCAGGAGCTGCTGGTTGGGGCTTTTCTGTCTGTAAAAAGATTGACGCTTCTGAGTGAATAGGGCGTTTCTGCCTCTACCTGCTGCTCAGTGCTCTCTGCTCTACTAAAATAAATAAGATAAACTCAAGGAACAAAGGTGGACAATGAGGCACATAGATTTGACAGTGGGGAAGGCTAGCCATGTGATTACAGGAATGTGGGACACTATTTGTCAGCCAGTGCCCCAACAATGCTGCCATTCCAAGAGCTTGCAGCACACAACAGTGAGCATTTACTGCTCACTCACACTGGTGAGTTTTGGCTGACATGTGCCTGTCTTGGTTCCAAGCTATGGTTAGGTCCAGGTCTGCTGCATTTGACTTCTGCCCTCTCCAGACAAGCAGCCTCCTGAAAAATGTTCTCAGGACAGAATCAGGACCTTGCAAAGCAAGCCTACCTATGCCAACTCAAACACTTTTCAAGCCTTTGCCTGTGTCTTATCCACCAGAATCCCACTGGCAATGCCAATCACAAGGCTGAACCCAAGTCAAGAAGCAGGGGGAGGAGCTTGCACTGAGCAGTCCACCCAGGCGCTGTCTGAATGTGCACACACTGCAATAAAGAAAAGGAGGCCAGTGTTTTCTGGCTTGTAGGCTTCTTCATCCCAGAGTTGGCGAGGTGTGCTTGACTTTGAGGTGATTTTTTTTACCCGGATGTGACTATTCTGGCAAATAATTTTATGACAAAAACATTGCCTAGAAAATCATCCATGTAGCCTTAAGAGGCAGACTAAGATCTGTGATCCAGCTGCCACATGTTCATTTTGGGAAGAGGCTTAAATGTTCTCTACTAACTAGCTTGCTAAGAGATTTGTTCACTTCTGAAGGAGGTGACTGAGTTCCAACCCTTTCCACCACCTCCACTGCTGATTCAAAGCTGACAACCGTGACAGGGTCTTAGTGGCCAGTGAGCGGTGAAACCTGCAGCTGGGGGATCCCAAAGGAAGTGGCATCACTGCTCGCCTTGGCCTGCCTTCAGAGTCTTTCCCACCTCCAAAGGGAAGTCACCACCATGCCCTTTCCACACACTGACATTCTGCAAGATCAGGGGTGGCGTGAGCAGCACACACAGTTGCCTATTGGGTGGGACCTCAAGAAAATAGGATACATTCCTTTAGCAGGCCCTCACCTTTTCCCAGAAATGTCCTTTCCTTTTGAAATTCTATCATTGGGATCTCCCACTTTGGCAATTCTCATCAGCTTATGTTTCCTTTGAAGCGCAGCACCCTTGATATCAATGATTTCAAACCATCACAGACATTGACCAGCTTGCCCACCCACTTTTTGGTTCCTGAGATTAATTTTAAGCTAAGACAGCTTAGAACCAGGCCCAATGAGAAGCGGGCGGGGGAGGATTGCTTTTGAGGGGAAGGGTTAGGGATTGTATAAAAGTAGTGTGGGGTACTGGCAGGGCTTGTGAAAATTAGGGTGTGGGCCCATGGGGGCCACTGGCGGCTGATGAGTGAGAGGGCACAGAAAATGAGGGCACACTGGGACAACTATTCCCAAGGCCATAGATTCTCTTGGGCTGTGCTGCTTTGGGATAGGAGTGACAGATTTGGGACTAAAGAATGCTAAACAGGCTCCCCCTTTCTTCTTTCTCTTTTTATACCAGAATACAACACAGCTCTTTTTCATGTGCTTTTTAGGGGTTCCTTCTTGTTGCAGTGCTCAGAGTCATAAACAGCTTGGGCACCCAGATACCTTGAATGATCTGCAACAATGAAAGATAAAAGCCACATGAAACACAGAAAACTGGTCTCGAGGAGTTAACATAAAATCCTAGCATGTTAGCCCTGGGATGGGGCCCAGAGGCCTCTCAGTTTAACTCCTCAGTTTACACATCAGGAAACAGAGGCCCAAGAAGTGGGGAGGACCTGCCTGGGGTTCTACAGGCTGCACAGCACCCTTTCTGCCCACTGCTGCCCTGGGTCCATTGCCTCCACTCTCCACTGGGTGGGAGTGGAGGGTCATCAGAGACCCAGCCTGGTGGACAGTGAGCACTGGAGAAGGGAGTGTCTTGGAATCCCTGGGGACTGTTGAGATTTTGGCTTCACTTGGGTGATAGTGCTCTACCAGCCCCGGTAGGAGAGAAATACAGGCATCCAAGTTCAGTCCTTGGAAGTATTAAGTAAGGAGTTTCCAATGTCAAAAACACCAATAGACAAGTTGGGTGATTACACAACTTTTCTGCTATTTAGATGCATCTGGATGCACTGGAATAAGGTTTACCCCAATGAATCATGATTTAAGAGTATTGCTGATTTTGTTTTGACAAAGACCTCATTTCTCTCCATTTATGGAGCACCTACTGTGTGGTTGGCTGTGCTGTGTCCATTACTGAATATAACACAGCTTTGCAAATAGATGGTGTTATCCTTATTGCAAAGGCAGGATAAAGCTCTGGGCTTTATAGGGTCCAGAGCTTTATCCTTTAATTTGCATAGGGTCCCATAGATGGAAGTGGTGAAGCAGATTCAGGGGGTCCTGAACCAATGGGAGGAGTCAGTCAGGCCTAAAGGAAGGTGTGTGGAGACATGGTATATCTGAGGTAAGTGTTGGGTGTGTTTGTGCAGCTCTGGGTTCCTCATGTGTAAGAAAGGGTAGCTTCGGTGCAGGGGCTGAATGAGGATAACACAGAGCTGTGTTCACAGACAGAAGTTAAGTCAAGGCTTGGCCCAAGGCTGGGTTCACAGACAGCAGCGTTGAGGGCAGTAGGATGATCATTCTGAAGGCTAAGTGGAAACACGTGGTTTCCACAGAGATGCCTGGGGCCATGGCCCCACTTGCTCCACTTCAGAACTGGGCCTTGGCCTTCCCTCCATCTGGAAAGCTCTTTATTCAAGATCACCTCCTCGATGAGGCCTCCTTGGACTCCTGCCTCTGAAGAGAGTGGAGCCCCTTCTCCAACTACAGGGCCCCTCAGAGGCCTCACCTCACCAGCTGAAATGGAGTCTGAGTTACCCACAGAGGAGACACCAGTCAGACTGGGGTTGCTTCTTCAGGTTAGATAGGTGATGTGGCAAAGGGGGGTGGTTGTGGAGCAAATTTCTACTATTTTCTAGCAGTTGGCGCTGTTGGAGAGCAGCTGCAAGGGGGTGTCCTGCATGCATCGTCCAGTGCTCAGAGGGACCCAGGAAGAGGGGACGTGAGTTGCCTTCTGGGGAGTGGGGTGGGAGGTGGGCCTGGAAAAAGCAGGAGTGCCCCTCCCATCACTGCCCCAGTCTGGTCTTCATGCTGTCCACCTTCAGGGAGGGCACTAGAGACATTTTTGCTGAAGGAAAAGGAGGTTTTAGGACTTTAGAATGCTAAACAGGCTCCCGATTCTTCCTTTTTTACACCAGCATACAATACAGCTCTTTTTCTTGTGCTTTTCAGGGCTTCTGAACAGGGCATTTTTGGCATCTATAAGCGTGTGGAGACACTGCCAATTTATGGGCCAAATTGTATTATTGAGGCCAGCCTGGCAGAGCCATTCATTGTGGATCCGAGAGAGCAGCTCCGCTGGGTGGTTGGGACGTTTACATGGAGAGGAGAGAGGAAAGAGCGAGCTAGAGAGCTGTGTGTGTGTGTGTTTGTGTGTGTGTGTGTGTGTGTGTGTGTGTGTGTGTGTGTGGTGTTTAAATGACCTGAGGACCAGGTAGGATGCTGCTCCTGAATAGAGGGGATTTATAAGAACTGCTTTCCTAAAGACTGTGTTTGGGAAAGCCATGGAAGACATTCGGGTCTCACAACATTAAAAGTGAACTTCAGGTAGGAAACAGCTGCCTCCTCCAGGACATGCAGCTCATGCTGTGGGACTAGGTACTGTCACCCTGCAGCCAGGTTGCATCTATCTCATTGTTGTTGGGAAAAAAAAAGTGCAACAAAGAAACAGCTCATCATCCACCACCAGCCCTAAAAGAGCCCTGTGTGCCAGGCATTTGCCACCAGGCATGTGCTGGGCGTGCCATCCTTGTGGAGCTGAGCCGCCTGAGCACTCTGGAGGGCAGCTGTAATCTCAAGTGTTAACATCTGGCAAAGCGCCTTTCCAGGGCAATGGTACCAAATGTTTTGTGTTAATTAGACTCACAGTGTGGACCCCTGACTGTCCTGAGGCGTTTCTGTGTTGCCCTGTGTTAGCACACGGAAGTGCACGCATGCCCCGGACTCCAGGCTGAGGGAGAACAAGGGTGGGGTGAGCCTTGTTCCTGCCCTGCCCTTTCTTCGTTATGCGGCACCTGCACCTGCTCCGGGCCCTCATCTCTTTCTGAGATTCTGTGTGACAAAGGCTGCACTCAGGCTTCTGGGAGCTTGTTTTTGCACGAGACAAGTACCCTGGTTCAGTATGAGAAAGCCGGCGCCATAGAGATCAAGCAGTGCTTGTCTGGGGGTTACAGAGGGTTTCCTTCCTCGTCCTGGCCTTGCCAGCTGCACACTCAGCCGTGGAGACCAGGCTGCGGTGTGGCTTGGAGCCCTGAGCTCTTCCCTGTTGCCCAAGCAACTCTGTGTATCTTCTGTTGTGTCCTATCTCCCTTTTCCCTTGCCTGCCCAGATTCTCTCTTTCCTGTTCTGGGTTCTCAGGTTCTGCAGCCAGCAAGAGAGTTTGCCTGGGATAAGCTGTGATATTTAAGTAAGGTCTTGGTAAAAATCTGACTGCATGCTTATGAATAAAATGATGTTTCTGCCACTGAAAGGTGGTTATCTTGTGTTATTCAGGGGCAGAAAGGAAAAGTATGTGGTGGTCAGAGCTGGGGAATTGCACAGTAACTCTGTCCTAGTATTTTATTTCACTTTCAGTTCTTATCGAAAAGGATGGGCAAAAGGATGGGACATATCTGCAAGCTGATGGGAGAGGAAATGTGCGTGAGACATAGGTTTAGTTGTGATGCCTATGACATGTGATTGGGGATGTTTTTGATTGCCCTGCCTGGCCATGCTGAACCACAGCCCCCAGAGCCAGAGGAGAATGCAAGCCAAACAGGAAGCCTGGCAGCGAGGGGCTGGGCCTTGAGGTGTCCTGTGATGATTACCGCTGTTGTGCACCATCTTTCCTCTCGCAGGGATCTTGTGGGCGATAGGTTACTATCACTGAGCGGAGCCGGTGAATGAACAAAACCCTGGCGGAGTCTGTGCTTTCTCAAGGGCCAGCCTGGGGCTGGGATGAGGCCCTAGAGGCCGTGCAGAACTAGGCTTTGTCTCAGCGCCACGCCCTGAGGGCCCTCAGGGCCTGGGCACTGCACACAGGCTAGTGCACTACAGTCCTGCATGGAACAGGCCGTCGATTAGTGTGGGCAGGGAGTACTGCCCAAGGCCATTCATCCTAAAACCCAGGAGGTAGTGTCAGCACAAATTCACTTGACAGAAAACCTTCAACTGTGCTTTCACTGATGACGGTGAAATCTATGTTTCCCTGCAGAACTGCGTTCATGGCAAGACCAACAGGGTGGGTGTGGAACACGGGAGAGGCATAGTCTACCTTCCAGTCTGAGGTTTCCCAGCTTCTGAGCCACGTGTCTTAAGGGCTGTGGCAGTGGTGGTCTGCATCTGATTGCATTACCAAGCAGTTCAGGCCCACCCATGCAGGCACACTGGAAAATGCGCCCTTCCAAACCACAGCGGTGAGTAGAAGGCTTGTCAAGAACGTGAAAATTTCATTCTTTGCAATGCGCAGGCATCTCAAGGCTGCCCAGGAGTCTCTGAGAGCACCAAGCAGTTTCCACGTGGCCCTGCAGAGCCACTCTCCCCTTGGTCCTGTGCATGCCCGGGAGGCTGAGCTGACTGGACCATGTCTGAGATGTGTGGTCAGATTGGCCCCTCAGAAGCAGGTGCCAGCGGAAGAAGCACAGAGCAGGATATTTACCTTCACTGCTCCCTCCACGGAGATCGCAGGCCCTTGCATGGCTGCTTCTCCCGGAGTGCTGCGAATCTCTTTCTCTGGTTCCCCTCTGGGCTCAGGGTACTAGTTGTAGGGCACTGTGCTGCCCATGATGAATTTGTACACTTGGTATTTTCCTTTTTGCAGACTCTCCTCAGTTACCAAGTTGACTGACCCATCTCTCTTCTTCCAGGATCTGCTTGGTAAACCTACCAAACCAAAAGAATGGGTCCTTTTGGTGGGGGCATTGCAGTGGCTGCTTGCCGCTGCTGTCTGAATGACTCCATTATAGCATACTAGTCACTACCTTCACCTCAGTCTCATGCCCCTGACCTATCTTGTTTGCCCAAAGATGAGGCTACCAAGAAAACACTTTGAACTTCTGCTTCTGGGAAACCTAGACATCCCTCCATGGCAACCATTCAGAAAAGATAAAAGAATCCAAATCTTGGGTCTCATAAGAAAAGGAAGTTAAAAGTCAGAACAGCTAGGATTAGGAGAGGTTTGGCATAGCTCCGTTGCCTCAACTTTAACATGTTAGGGTTTGTGAACACTCACAGATATGATAGTCTAAGACCAGTTCACAAGGGAGTCATTTCAACGTGACCACACCAGTTGTTCAGATAGGATGAAGTCAGAAAATCGGAGCAGCCTGCAGAGATGTCATTAAAGAAACTCTTCCTCCCTACATTATCAGGCACCCAGGTGACCTCCCAAAATGGGATCTTTGTCATGGAGGCCTAATGTCATCTCCACCCTGTCGAGGGCTGGTCTGTGAGTCCTGACAGCATACTGGGAGTTCTGCCAACAAAGGATTGTCACCAAAGGAGGTTGACTTACCATTTTTGTTTCCCTCATGTAATCTTGCCAGGAGCCCAGAAGACTGCTGTTCCTGGTCCTTGTCTGTGTCATGACGGAGGACACGGGATGAGATGGCAGATGTCTATAGAGCTACCACAGGATGACTGACATCACTTTCTTACTTGGTAGCTCTAGAAATCTGCATGCCCGTGTGGTAGAAAGCCTGATGAAGGTAAAGAAAGTGGGACTAGGGTCTTGACGCCAAATCACAGCTATGAATAAACTGACAGTTATTTGTGGGCTTACCAAGGACATAAAACAATTGTTTTGGCACAAATAAAGTGGCACTGTGCTGCGCACTCACATTCGTTTGTCAACTGTTCTTGGAATGGGTATTAAATTATAATGGAGAAGCTGCTTTCATAAAGCCAAACTGGAATTTTCTAAGCTGTCAAGTGCAAATAAAATGATTAACTATCTCTGCTTCCTCTGTCTCTGCAAAACAGAGCCCTTTGTCTGCTGCCACTTGTCTTGAATGCCTGTGCTGTGTACACATGGTGTTGACGCCACATTCTCTCCAAGTGGCTGGGATGATTCTTCTCATTACTTATTCAGAACTGGTGTAAGATTTCAAATTATTTGCTTCAACACAAAGGTATCTTAAAGACAACCAATTCAGTATGTACTATACTGTAGAGAACTTGTGGTTTGTACATGAGTTTATACTTTCTTGATTATGTGTTCTCAGTTCAACAAGAAATGAGTCTACAACCATATAGGAAGTACCATTGGGAACAGAAGACTCTGTGGAAGGTCGCAGTAGTTAAGGAATCATGGAGTGGCATTTGCCATGATCTTGCACTTACAATAAATGGCCTTGTCTTTGGTTTTGGGCACATGGGAAACTCTATGATTTTCATCCCTTCTGTGGTTTTCTTGTCTGGGTAGCTTGGGTGTTGTGGCTTCATGTGGCCTAAATCTAAGTGACAATGAAATCTTAAAACTGGAAATCCAGTTATCTAGTTACCTTTTTCAGACCTTTCTTCATCTAGCACATGGTTGGGTTGAGCTAGATGATCTCTGGGGTTCCTTTCAGCTCTGCTTGTAACTATTGGGTTCTAAGCCTTTGTGGCTCTTTCACTCGGTTCAGTGCTTCTAATTTTTAAGATGCTAGACGACCACTGGGGGATCTTGTTAAAATGCAGTCTGCTTCTAGAGGTCCAATGGGACTCCTGGGAGTCACCAGAGCTACAGGTCTGTGGACCACACTCCAAGTGCCATGGATGTAGATGGCCAGTATTGCCTGGTTCTGGGTAAGACAGACATATTCTTTGTCTCCTTCAGGCTTTTGGAACTCATCCCCCTTCCCCCCCCCTCTTTTTTTATTCTCTTTGGCAATAATAAGAAATGAGGAGGGCAAGGTGAGAACTTCTGTTTCTGGTAATCTGATGAACTGCTCCTTGGCACACAGTCAATGTTTATTATGCTAGTTGAATGGGAGAAGACATGAGTGTATGCAAGCATAAAATACTGAGATTTCATACCTAGGATAGTCCTCTGGCTGAAAGTTCTTTTTACCTCCCCATAGCCTATTATTTTTCTAAATCACCTCAAGTCCTCACTCCTCCTTGAAGCCCTCTGCCTCCCTACCTATTGCATCTCTGGCTTTGGGAGCAAGTGAGCAGACTGTAGGCAGGTGCCGCTGCACTCATGCATGTGACTGCAGGCCAGCCATCAGATGCCTCAAGACAGTGCAGCCTGTAACAACTATATGAAATGCCTTTTCCATCTGGTTTAGAGCTTAAATATTCTTTTTATTCTTTATATATGCATCTTCTGCTTCTTTTGCCAGATGGTACATTTGTTGAAAATTGGGACCGTGTGTTTGGCTACTTCCTCTGTTTTGATTTCCCTGGAGAGTTAGCAGAGTGCTGGGTGCAGAGCAGGTGCCCAGTGGACGACCATGCTGCTGGAGCCACTCTGAGTCCCACCTTCTCACGTGCTCATTTGGTTCCCAAGGGAGCCCATAATTTCCTTGACCTGGGAAGTGTTCAGAAGTGGTTGCTGAATGGGTCAGATGGAGCCTAATTAGAGAACCTTATTCTCCTGAGTTGGATGGGGAAAATGCTATCAAGATACTGTGGAGAAATGCCAGAAAAGCAACAACAGAAGGCTGTCAGGAGAAAAAAAGAAACAAGAAATTTCTATTTTTTGCATTGTGCTATGGGAAGGAAAGTTGTTTTGATTTGTCATGATCTGCCTGCAGCTGCCTCTCACTTTGGTGGGACAAAGCCTGTTGCCCAAAGAGGGAGTGGGGATGCTGCTTCATTGCCAGGGCTGCCTGGAGTGCAGGGCCTGTGGTGGATGCGAGGGTGGGGCTTCAGGGGAGCGCCACTTCACCCTGGCTGGGCTCTTGGAGGGCCCTGCTGTCCCTGGGATCTGCTGATCTCAGGCAGTACCTTCATGCTGAGAAGTTGGGAGGGATTTGAGGACATAGTGCCCACCTACCCCTACCAGGCTCCCTTTGCTCTTAAGCTTCTCCTTGGCTCTGGATTCACCCATAGACTTCAGAGTGCGGGGTCTTAACCTTGGCAAGGTCATCAGCCTCAAATGGCATCTCAGGTCTGCAGAGGAGCTTCCAGGAGATGGGCCATGTTGGATGTCTCTTCAGTATGAAAATTGTGCATGTTTAAAAATCTTTTCTTCCAATTAAAAACATTACTTCTCTCAGAACACAAAATGTCAAATGTGTAAATATCTATACTAATAAAAGGGTAATATGCAAATTGGTCAGGATGCCCCAACAGTAACGACTGAACAGCAGGCTGCGTGAGGTGACCAGGCTGGCAGGGGGTTTGTGAGGGATGACCAAATGACTAAACAGCAGGCTGTGTGGGCGACCAGGTCTATGGGGGAGGGATAGTGAGGGGAAACCAAGCCAGCATGGGGGCAGTTGGGGGTGACCAGGTCAGCAGAGGGGGCCATGATGGGTGACCAAGCAGGTAGAGGGGGCAGTGAGGGGTGACCGGTCCAGTGGGGGTGGCAGTTGGGGGTGAAAGGCGGCAGCAGGGGAAGTTAGGTGTGATCAGGCTGGCAAGGGGAGTCAATTGGGTGATCAGGCATGCAGATGAGCAGTTAGGAACCAGCAGTCCCAGATTGGAAAGTGTGCCAGCTGGGCTGAGGGAACCCCCCAATGCATGAATTTCATGCACCATGCCTTTAGTCCTATCTAATAAAATAATAATATGCAAATCAACCACCACTCCACTACACCCACTAGCCACACCCAAAAGCCACGCCCACCAGCCAATCAGGAGCAAATATGCAAATAAGCCCAACCAAGATGACTTTGGCCACAGAGAGTAGGAGGGTGGCTTGGATTTCCCAGGCAATGGAGGAAACCAAGCTTTCCGCCTGCCCTTGCTGCCTAGGCCTCCACTCAAAGCTACAAAGTTTCAATTATAGAAGATACATAAACCCAAACAGAAATGGCAGCAGCCACAGAGCTGGAAAGAGCAGGAGGCTAGGGTTGCCCTGGCAATGGAGGAAGCCAAACTTTCCACACACCCTGGCCAGCCCAGGTTACAAAGTTTCAAGTTACATAGAAGATACATAAATCCCAACAGAAATGGCTGCTGCCACGGAGCAAGCAGAAGACTTGGCTCCACTACAGGCTACAAAGGTGCATCTTAGTGGGGAATCCAGGAGGTCTGACCAACACTGCATTTCAGAGCTTTGCTGCAAAGCAAGGGGCCTGTAGGACATGCTGTGGTGCAGCCTTCTCTCTCTACCCACTTCCCTGTGCTATGCCCAGTGCAAGCCCAGCCTTCCTGCCTGTAACTGAGGGGTTGACACAATCTAGTAAACGTCACAGACCTCACATAAAGCAGGCAGGTGTGTCTTCCCTCTACATGCCATCTCAACAAAACAGCTCTTCCAGGCAAGGATAAAACATTGGCAAAAGGGAAAGAACAAAGATGATAAATGAGAAAAATGTCCAAAGTAGAAATTAAGAAATGCATCTTTAAACAATGGGATAAAATTTTCTTTAAAATAGAGAAAAACTGGGGGAGGGGGGAAACTGTAAATTCCTAATAGGTAAATAGTTACGTAAATTATGGGAAATATTTGTCATGACATTACAGCTATTAAATATCCATTTTAAAACATTCAATGAAGTAAAAATGTTAAAGCCGAACAGAGCATTAAGTGAAAAGACCAGTGCACAAAACTTCATTTGTGCTGTCTCAGGGTTGGCACCATAGGGAAGGGGTGTACACAGTCTTCTTTAAAAAATACCCAGTACTGCAGTGCAAAGACAAAGGTCCACAGAGCTCACCTCACAGCATGTGCTCATGGTCAGAGGCCACCAGCACCCAGCTGGAGGCTGCTGCCCTCCCTGCTTTTCTTGACTGACCTGGGCATTCAGAGTATTGTCAGCCGCTGACCATCCAGGCCACCGGAAAGGTGAGAGGCCTGGCCAACAGAAAGGAGTGAAGGACAGCTCTCCCTCACCTCACCCGCACTGTCAGCCCCTCTGCCCTAGTGGAAGTCAGCTCACCAAGCCCACTGGCCACTCGAAGACGAAGGGCATGAAGACCATGGTGACCTGGGAAACCCCTTTCTCAAATTAAAACCCAATTTCCCAGACTCATTTACTTGTTCTTGGGCCAGTGACTCTCTCAGTGGAAGTGAGTTGTACCAAACAATAAGTGTCCTTCCTTATTATTCCTGCTTGGCAACCAGCCCTTCCTAAATCCACCTGCACAGAATGAGAAAAAACAACAAAGCACTCCCTTGCTCACATCTGGGCAGAATACTTGCATCTATGTTCAGAACAGAGAGTCAGGGGAAGCAGCAGCGTGGCCCAGGGAACAAGCAAAAGGGCTGTGGCTAGAGTAGCCCGATTCTTTACCATGGCCCCCGCCTTCCTTCACATCCTCCAGCAGCTGCCTGCCTGCACCCAGTGTCTGGCAGCTCCTTGTCAACCTCATGTCCCTCCTTGTCATAGTCTTTTCTCTACTAAAAAGTGACCCTGTATTCTTCCTCCTGTTCCACAAAGAGGGAAATGTATGTGGTTTGTGATCATTCTTCAGGCCTCCATGAGAGAGGGGGTCAGATACAGTTTATTGGCAGATTTTGCTCCAGTCATTGGAGAGCTTTTCCAAAGACAGGTGCTCTGTCTGGATGAAGAACTGTTATTAGAACCCTCCTTGCATCCTTTACCTGATTGTCAAATGTTTGAGCACCTACTGTGTGGCCTGGGACTCGGTTGGGAAGAAGGCAGGACAGCCCCTGTGGTCCATGCCCAGTGGACATGGGCTTCGCAGCTCACGGGAGGGCTGCTCTGAGGGAAGGGCCCTGCTGGAGGAGTTGGCTACCCTGGAAACAGACACAGTGCCCAGACATAGTTGTGCTTAGAAGTGGGAAGAACTTAGCAAGGAGGGAGGGGGAGAAAAGGAGTGTGCTTGGTAGTGAATACAGCATTTTCTCATTTGTTATTTTAGCTAAATATTTATTGAATGCTTATTATATTAAGCTGCAGTGTGGATGGCCTAGGCCTGGGATCCAGCCATTCACCCACTTCCTCCCTCATTCATATGCACTCACCTACCGCACACCAGGCATGAGGCCAGTCCTGAGTGCATAGTGATGGGCCTGCGAATTAGAGTCTCTCTCGAGGAACTTCTGGTCCAGGTGGGAGAGTCAGTTAAGATGTAAACACCCGAATACTTGTCTGACGCAGTCATAAGTGCCAAGCAGAGTGTGAGCCGTGGAGAACGAGAAAGAGGAGTGTAGATGGCATCTGCAAGGAGCGGGTGGTCAGGAAATGTCTCCCAGGAGCTGATTTCCCTGGAGGAGTTTGTTGTTCATCTGTCCCATTTTCATTATGTTTATTGTTATTACTATAAATGCTGTGAATAATAGAAAAGACAAATTTCTGCTTGCCTTCTTTGTGGATACCCTTTGCTAAGGCAGTTGAAAGAAAGCCCACAAAAAGTGAAGAGGTGAGATTCTGCCACCTGGGTGATCAGAACCTAGAGAGCAGGCATCTGAACCTGCCCTCACCCAGCACAGTCACCCCTACCCCAGGCCTCCAGGTGTCCCCTGAGCTAACCGCCACACCGGCTTGTGCCGTACTGTGACAAGATGTCCAGCAGGGGTGTCCTCCTCTGAATAGAGATGGACTGTCCCCATCATCACACCTGATCCTGAGGAGGGCGGGAAGAAATGTGCAGGGTGTTGGGGCAACATCAGGAAAGACGGAAGGTATGAGAAGTTGGAAGCCAGTGTAAAGAAGTTACCAAATACCGTAGATGGAGAGGAGGAAAGAAGAAAGGCAGTGAGAGGGCAGGGCATGCCCAATCTTAGCCATTTTCCCACAGACGGGGCTGTGTGAGGGCAAAGTGAAGGTGGCAGGAAAACTGCCCATGTGGGTCTCATACCTGGCCAGGTTTCTGCATTGTCAGTAGAGGCCTGGTGGCTGCCCCAGACCCTGTGGCCTATGGATCTTAGAAAGAGGGTCTTCCGTGGGCAGTTTCTGAGAATAGGCTGAGCAGGAGATGTGCAGGTCCCTTTCTGTCAGGGCGATGAGCCCCACTTTGACCTTGGCCACCTGCACTGTGCCAGGCCTGGTGGAGCCTATGTGGTGAGCAAGGCCGTTAGGTGCTCCTCACAGTCCAGTCCTGCGATCCAGTGCCAGCTCTCCCTCCCTCTTTCTACCTGAGACAGGCCACCGTGAAGGTCGGTGGCTGTGCAGGCACACCAGGTCCCTCCTGTCCCTTATCCTGTATTGGAACAGCCTGTCAGCTCTCCCCACAAAACACCCTCAGCTCTACCTCCTCTTCCCTGGATGATGGAGCTGCCTCCCAACTCTTTCCTACTTCTTCCCTTATCTCTGTGTGTATTTCTGCACAGTGGCCAGAGCGATTCTGTTAAAACAGAAGTCAGATGATGCCAGTCCTAGACTCAAACCCATCCCCTTATGCCTACCATCATAGTCAGAGAAAAAGCCAGAGCCTGTGAAATGACCGGTGAGGGCCTGCACCACCCACCCCACACCCAGTGCCTCTTCTGCCGCTTCTCCCCTGACCACGCCACTCTCCCTGCTGCAACTCCCTGGGCAGGCTCCCACCTCAAGACATTTGCACATGCTGTTCCTTGCCTTGAACACCCTCCTCCCACCACATCTTCTTCTCAGTGGGGCCTTCCATGATCGCTCAACTTAAAATTATAGCTCTGCCTTCCCCAAATACTTCCTGTTTCTTTCCCCTTGAGATTTTCCAGAGGACTTCTTACCATTAAGCCTTCTCTGTATCTTATTTGTATTTCTTGTTATTGTCTCATTGGCCACTAAAGTGGAGGAACCGTAGAACAGTCACCGCTGTGTCTGCATGTGCAGGAATGGTGCTTGCCACATGAGATCCTCCACACACTTGAGAGATTGCCTGCAAGGCCACCCTGAGGGAAGCTCTGAAATTCACTACAGTGTTAAGTTGCCCTTCATTTCCTAAATTTCCCTCATGGGAGCTTGCAGAAAACCTTGAGTTACAAGGTGCTTCTTTTGCCCTGTACTCAAGGAATCTAAACACTGTTTCTATCTGGAATGGTCTAAATAATTGGGGGGTAAAAGTGAATCCTCTAGCAATCTTTTCTTGACCTCTCTGCTCTTGTTAGCCGCAGGTGAAGGATGTGCTGTGCTTTGGGCTCATTTATTGATTGATTAAAATGCTGACAAATGAGCATGTACAGCTAGGACAAAGCATTCAATTAGAAAGCCTGAAATGAAAATTTAGAACCACTTAATGACAAGTAGGATGTGCAGAGCCAACTCAGAAAAGGATAAAATGAGAAAGTTTAAAGCAGGCAAGGATTCCTTCTGCTGTTCCCTCTGCGCTGTTGCTCAGCTCAGGCCAGGTACTGCTGTGTGCCAGACCCACTGCTCCAGGAGTGAGCCTGTGATAAAGAGGAACTCCGACATGGGCCTGGTGCCCGTATCCATGCGCACAGGGATGGGGTGACCCTGAGGAATGCTGCAGATGGTTAGCACAAATGTTTTGTGCCTGCATTGGCCCTGTGAAGGAAGACATTGCAGGCTCACAGTGTGCCCGGCGTCCATCTCCATGCTGGGTAGCTAGGGGCTGATCAGTGAAAATACACAGGGAAGCTTGTCATCCTCTCTGCATCGTCCTCTTCTGCCTTTACCTGCATGTAGACCGAATGGACTCTCCAGGTGATAGTGGACTGCCCACAGCCCCTTTCTCACAAGTGGGTGTGAGGTCCATGATCCCATTCCTGCTAAAGGAGAACAGCTTCCATGAGCCCATTCCTGCTATTTGGTCTCTGCACCCTCAGGACCCTTGGGGCCTGCTAGGTCGGGTCAGTGCAGGCGAAGGACTGCAGAGGCCCCAGCTCACTCCTGGCTCTGCCTTGGCACTAACTCTGGGTCAGTCTAGAAGGGGAGACCAGCACTTTAGAGTTTTGAGCATTAAATAAGGTTGTGCACAATGTGACCCATACAGTCCATTTTTGGTAAAAACAAACAAACTGCTATTTCATTGCTTATGAGAATGCTGCCTTATTTGCTGTAGGCCATAGTTTGTCTAAAGGGGAACTGTCCTGGTTCCCATGCACAGACCAAGTCTTCGGGAAACCCTTTGGAGCATAGCACCTCTGTACACACTTGCCTTTTGCATATGTGTGCAGTGTGTATTATATGTCTCTGTGCCTGTGCAGTATCTGTGTGCATGTGTGGTGTATATAGTGTGAAGGTTGTTGGAGGCTAAATCCAGCAGTCATAAATGCCAGAAGTTCATCAAAAGATTTGTGAACCTTGAGGCTTCATCAGGGCTGAATACATATTATTGTCTACTGGAATGCTGAAGGCATTTCCCCAAACCTGAAGATCTGCAAATATTGTTGCCTGTTACCAGACAACTGAGGGCATTTCAATTTAATGTTATTGCCTCCTGCTGGCCAAAAACCTGAACAGCCAAGACAGTTCCCCCAAAACTGACAATGCCTACTGTATATTAAACCTTACCTTTGATATGCATATTTGCTTTGCTTTAGGACAATTTGTGCTAATAAAGAGCAAGAGGTCCAGAGACTCAGAGAACTTGTTACTGAAGCTAAGCCCTCCTCTGGCTACCCCATGGATTGCAAATTTGTATTATACTAGTGGCCCAGTGCATGAAATTCCTGCATATTAAAAGGGAATTAGAGCAAAGATTTTAATATTGCTATTTGCCTGTTCTGTATAATAGAAGTGTCAGAGATGAAAGAAAATTAGTAAAATGTATATGAAAATCTACCTCCATGAGACCCAGAGTTAAGTCTCCACCCAAATGTGTGCACTTCAAAATTGCATGAGACTCTGATCCAGCCAGTCCCACCCCCATCAAGCCCTGCCGGGCAGGGGGCATGAACTGAAGCCACCCACCCTGCTGATCGGTCATTTTGCGTCATGGTGTGATGACCATTTGCATGTTAGCCTTTTATTATTATGATTTCTAGTCTTTTTATTAATTTACTTCGCAGTGCCTTCTCCAGATTCCTGAACCTTTCTAGATGCTGGATATCACTCCAGCATTAGTAGGTGTCTATGTATGTGTGTTGGGGAGGTAGGTATGTGATGGGTGATGTGTGTTTGTATATCTGTACAGTAGTAGGCTGTGTGTGTTGGGTTATGTCTGGCTGTGTATGTGGTGTCTGTATGCATGTTTGTAGTGTGTGTGGTATGTGGGTGTGTGTTCACATGCAGTCTCTCTCTTTGCACTCATTCTACCTGACCCAGGCCAGGCCCAGACCACACTGGCTGTTCTTTGCACAGAAGTTCAGCCCAGGACTTCAACTGAACTCCATTGCTTCTGAAGAGGAGGAAATGATGTCACAAAGGCCCTTGATTACAATATATTTGCAAAGCTATTCTTGCACATCTTAGCCTTCTTCCTAGGAGGGGTGGCCCCATAAACACATTTTAAATTTTTTAAAAATATGATTTTATTGATTTTAGAGAGAAAGAAAGGGAGAAAGAGAGGGAGAGGAAGAGGGAGAGAGAGAGGGAGAGGGAGAGGGAGAGGGAGAGGGGGAGAGAGAGAGAGAGAGAGAGAGAGAGCAAGAAATATTATGGAGTAGCTGCCTCTTGCCCACAACCAGGGCACATGCCCTGACTGGGAATTGAACCAGTAACCTCTTGGGGCATAGGCCCCACTGGTCAGGGAAACACATCTTTCTTGTCATCATTCTAGCTCTGTCTTGCCTCTTTAGGATATTGGAAAGATTGGCCTAAACAGAGAGAGATTTACTCTCAAGGACATTCCTTCAAATAGCTGCTAAAGCTTCTGGGGTCAAAATGTGTTGTTCCTTTCAGCTCTCAGCCTCTCCCCTACCTCTCCCTGAGCAAGGCGTTCCTAGTATCTGGATCACATGACTCAGGGTCAATCAGGAAGCCACAGGATGTCCTGTCCAGAGGTTTCCGTGCCTGAGCTTCTGCCCTCTTTCTTCTCCCCAATACAACTGTTGATGGATAGGCAGAAGCGAGTTCCTTTTCTTTTTTTTTAAATTAAATTTTTGAGATAACATCCATAAACTAGTGGCCTGATGCATGAAATTTGTGCATGGGAGGGGGTTGTCCCTTAGCCCAGCCTGCACCCTCTCCAATCTGGGACTCCTTGGAGAATGTCTGAAATCCTTCTCACAATCCGGTACCACTAGCTCCTAACTGATCACCTGCCTGCCTGTTTGATTGCCCCTAACTACTCTGCTGGCCTGCTCGCCCCCAACTGTCACCCCCCTGCTGGCCTGATCACTCCCAACTACTCCCCACTGCCAGCCTGCTCACCCCCAACTGACCCACCTGCCGACCTGCTCGCCCCCAGCTGCCCTCCCTTCCTGATTGTCCCTAACCACCTCTGCCTCAGCCCTGCCCGATGGCTTTGTCCAGAGGATGTCCAGAAGGTCTCCTGATCTAATTAGCATATTACCCTTTTATTAGTATAGAGGGTGGGGCCTGGCTGGTCTGCGCTAAAGAGGGTCCCAGATGAGGGTGGGGGTCCCTTTGAGAGATGGGGCCTGGGGTGATTTGCAGGGCAGCCATGCACCATTTGGGGTGGATCCCCACTGGGGGCTGTGCCAGCCTGCGCAAGGGGCTGAGTGCTGTTTGCAGGCTGGCCACACCCCCATCAGGGTGAGGGTCCCTGCTGTGGGGCATGACCAGCCTGGGGGAGGGGCTGAGGGCTATTTGCAGGCTGGCCACATCCCCATAGGATAAAGATCCCTGCTGGGGGTGTGGACAGCCTGGCAGAGAGGCTGAGGGCTGTTTAGGGGTGGTTTGCGGGCCAGCCAAGCCCCCAGCTTTGTCCAGAAGGTTTCTAGATGGTCTCCCGATCTAATTAGTATATTACTCTTTTATTAGTATAAATTAGTATAAATATAAAACCCTAATATGCAAATAGACCGAATGGCAGAACAATGAACAACTGGTCGCTATAACATGCACTGACCACCAGGGGGCGCATGCGGAACATGGCAGGCATTGGCTGAAGCAGGATGGTGGAGCAGATGAGCAGGGGTACCAAACCAAGGCAAGGCGCAGGTTGCTGTTATCAGGGTGGGCCTCTGGTAGTTACTGAAAATTCTTTGCTCACACATGCCTTGGTCCTACCTGATGCTTGCATCTGCTGCCACTGCTGGTGCTACAGCCACCACTCAGAGCCATTGCTTGCACCCACTGCTGGCACCTGGCGGTGGCCCCAATTGCTCAGCACCATCAGTGGGTGCTGGCCCTGAGCATCTCTCAGGACTTTTCCATCTCCCCCTGCTCCTGAGGGGTGATTGGGGCTGCTGCTTGCACCTGCTGATGGAGCTGGCCCCAATTGCTCCAAGCCATCAGCACATGGCAGTGGCAGTGGCAGTGGCAGTGGCAGTGGCAGTGGCAGTGACCAGGAGCGGGGCTGAGGGCAGAGAGGGGACTGGGGGCCGCATCAGGAAGGGCTGGGTGGTGGCACGGAGGATGGGCTGAGATCCCACCCCTGTGCCCACCACAGCCTCACAGCCTGCAGTTCCTTTCAAGGTGCACAAATTTGTACACTGGGCCCCTAGTTTGTTGATAACATTGTATAATTTTCAGGTGTACAGCTTTGTTATATGACATCTCTGTGCTCATCACCTGAAGACTGGTCTCCCTTTGTCACCATGTATTGGGATATCTGACCCCTTTACCCTCTTCATCCTCCCCTATTCCCTTGCCCTTTGGTAGCCACCATTCTGTTGCCTGTGTCTATTGTTTGTTTTGTTCATCACTTTTTGTTTTATATCCCACATATGAGTGAAATAATTTGGTTCTTATCATTTTCTGTCCGACTTATTTCACTTAGCATAATATTCTCAAGGTCCATCCATGTTGTCTCAAATGGCAGTACTCTATCTTTTTATGGCTAAGTAGTATTCCATTGTGTATGTACCACATCTTCTTTATCCAGTCATCCATTGCAGGACACTTGAGTTATTTCCATGTCTTGGTCACCATGAATAATGCTGCAGTGAACATATGGGTGCAATATCTTTATGAATAAGTGTTTTTACTTTATTTTAGGTAGATAACACAGAAGAGGGTTGCTGGGTAATAATGTAGTTCTATTATGAAGTTTTTGAGGAACCTCATACTGTTTTTCCATAGTGGCTGCACCAGTCTGCATTCCCACCAGCAGAAGGCTCGTTTTTCTCCACATCCTCTCCAACACTTGTTATTTCTAGTCTTATTGATAACTAGAGGCTCGGTGCACAAATTCGTGCATGAGTGGAGTCCTGAGGGGGTGGGGAGGACTGGGATGCCCTTGCCAGCCCAGGATCCTGATCCATCATGCTGACATTCATGCTGGTTTTCGGGAGCCACCTGGTGGCCACTTTTATATTGTTTCTTCCTTGTGGAGCGTCTATGAAGGGGAAGTGGCTGTGGTGCCCTAGGAGGACTTCCAGGAGGCTGGCAGCGCTGTCAGAATCAAGCTGGTTGCTCTGGTCCATTGGTGCCTGGCCTGTCATTGCCTGGCCTGTTCTCTGGAGATTGGGCCTGCAGGATACTGAGGGAATGAGTGGCTGCCACCAGCCTGATGAGCCGCTGGGATGGGTAAGTCAGCTGAACGGTGCTCCTGCTGTGGAAGCACACTGACCATCAGGGGACAGCTCCTGCATTGAGCGTCTGCCCCCTGGTGGTCAGTGTGCATCATAGTGACCCGTCATTCAGGTCATTCTGGTCCTTCAGTCTCTTACGCTTTATATATATATTTCATTCTAATAATTTGCATTTTCCTTACAGCTAGTGAAGTTGAGTATCTTGTCATATATCTGGCCATCCATATGTCTTCCTTGGAGCTCCAAAGCTGTTCCTGGCACAATGGATTTGGGCGGTATGGGGCTGTGAAGCTTCACGTTGCTATGTGTGTCTGTTTGGCATATCTGAATTCTGGACTCTTTTTTTTCTCCATCTTTTATAATCAATACAAATAAAGCTCTAATACATCAGTCAGGTTGGGAAAGATTAGGCTGCAGTTACAACTCTGAAACCTCAGTAGCTCAAAACAGTCAGCCACCCTTTCATCACACTCCACACATGAGAGGGTGGCTGGCCCCTTGCTGCTCATCCCTGTTGTCCTCACTAGGATCGAGACAGTGCAGAATGCAGTGGTGCCCTAGGCAGAGAGGAGACAGAGGTTAGCCTCTGGACTGGGCTGGGCAGTGATGCTGGGCCACACACCCAGGGTGTTGGGAGCAGAGGTGCAGTCCTGCCTTCCTGGGGACAGGAACATCTTCTAACAAGGATTTCAGAAAATCTTGGTTCCTGGGGATACAAAAATGCTCTTTACCCTCCAGAACTCAGAGAGCCCATAGGAGAGTTTGTGGTATGGGGTTCCCACTGGATGTAGCCTAGCTGACTAGTGTCAGCCACTGTGGGCCCAGGAGGGCACTGTCTTGGTTCCCCCACAGTCCGGCCACAGGAAGGGATCCTTGGAGACAGTCATCAAAGGGCTCGTAAATTCCTTCTTTTCTTCAGACAGCAGATTTCACTTCCCCTCAGATGCTGCAGTCTAGAATTGGAGGGGAAATTCTAGTGATCTCTGGCCAGAATT